CTATTTTTTTGTTGCCGATTTCTTGAGAAAAGTGTTCTTATTGTTCTTGCTCACTTTTATCGCAAAGCCATTTATTAACAGTTTCATAATGGTGCTTTACTGACGAAGTTCTTAACACTGCTGTTTCCTAACATTAGGATGCATCATGCTAATTTATCACCTTTTATGATCATACCGAATCTTTCTCTCCGCGATTTTTATTATGTTTTGTGTTCTCTGTACTGCTTGAGCCGACATTCTGGAAACTGTGAAAATGGGGAGATATTCCAAATAACATAAGTTTATTAATGTAGTTGGCCAGGCACTACTACCTGTATTTACATTATATTATGGCGAAAAAAATATCCATGGAGCCGCTAGATTACATATTTATTGTTATTATTACTGAATATCAAATGTTGACTCCCAAACACTAGAGGAACAATATAAGCAGAGCGACTCCAATAACAACCATTTATTTGTAACATGACCACAAATACTGATGTGTTTACTTGGGTCCGCGACGAGTTTACATCATATCCTCCAACCTTACGTTCTTACAGCCGCCACTCAGCTGGTGGCGCCAAGCCTAGGGCGAGAACGCCTAAGAACGCTTATTGCTTCTGCTTTGTAAAGGAAAATCATTCGCTGCTTCGTTTGAAAGTAACGATAATCCTTATGTATTTATTATTGGGTAGGTCAAAGTAAGGGCTTAAAAAGGGTCAGGTGGCGGCTTCTGCATATCAGTAAAGTGTGCTCGCTTGCCATCCTGGGCACGCATGGCATAGACCCGACAACCTTGTCCTAGGCTATAACTACTGATCTTCCACAGGATGCAACTACCCCACCACCAACAGTTGCCTAACTCCCGGGGGTGCCTGTTTATTGCTAAGTGGAGGGACTCGTGGCTGCACTTCTCGTCCTGCTTGGGACGAGAGGTGCAGCCACGATTCCAATCCAACAGGTCCAATCGATTTTGTGTCAAGAGCGCCGGTGAAAATGTATTCGGCTGCTCTTTTGTGGAGTTATATGGATTGGTACTCCAATTAGCTGCAAGTCTCAATAAACTGCCAAGACCTTTCTTATATGATTGGTTTCCAGAATTCAAAATGCTTGTGTAGTAG